GGATGACGTGAGATGAGATCAGAGAGAGAGAAGAGAGACGATTGAGAAGACTGAGGAGGGAAGTAGAGAGAGAGAGAGAGAGAGTGAGAGAGAGGAGAGATGAGAGAGAGAGAGAGAGAGAGAGAGAGAGGCAGAGAGAGAGAGGAGAGAGAGAGGAGAGACGCAGAGGAGAGAGAGAGAGAGAGAGAGAGAGAGAGAGAGCGAGAGGAGAGAGAAGGAGCAGATTCACCGTTTGCACGCTTTGCGCGTTTCAGCGCAGCGCTCGACATCTGCTGCTGATGTGGCGCGTGGGGACACAGAGCGAGCACATTGAAGCGGTCACGAGGCAGGAGGCAGGAGGGTTCCTTCTCTACAGATGTAGCACTTGCTACGTATCCCTCGATGACACTCGCAAGTACATCCGTCTGCGTGCAACACGAACACCAGGAGCGAGCGAGAGCCGCATCGAAGGATGTGAGTGGCGCGCGCTGCCCGGTTTTCCGGTGTATGGTTAAGCTATGGTAGTTATGTATGTTGTAGGTGCGCACCGTGTAGGGTCGGTGCGCACGCCGCCATGTTGTTGTGTAATTTACTTCTGAAATTACGAATTTTTTGTTTAAAATAACTCTGATTTGGCAAATTTTTTTATTCTCGGCATTCGGATTTTGGCGCGTCGAGTGGCTACGATCGGAATAGTACGAGCGGGATTGTGTTAGGAAGTAATTACGTGTTGCGATGTTGTTCATTTCGGTGTTGCTGGTTTATGTGAGAGCTAATGTTTTTTTAGGAACATGTTGTGTGTGTCCAGTTTGCTTATTTCTTACGGTGATGTATTGCTGGTGGCTCTTGTTTGTATCTCCATTTGGTAACAAGATCGAAATGACTTGATCAGTTCGCTCTCTTATGCCGAGGTTGTTTCTAGGCTCGCCGATTCACGTGCGAATAATACGATGCGCTGCATTATGTATATAAAATCAAGGAAGACTATTCATGGAGGCATTTCCCACCGATGAAGGAATTGGGACATCGGATGGAATGTCACTGGTTCTTTGGTGTATTGTTTTGTACGCTGACTAAATTTTGTTATAGCTCGTTACTCGTGGTGTAATTAGTCTGTTAATGTAAACGTAATTAACTGTCTCGCTGCAGGGACTCCTCGTGCTGACCTACTTTGGCGCGATAAGAAGTACCTGTTTCGGCCGCCCGTCTACTTCGTCGTCGAGGATGGACTACGAATCCGAACGGAGACACGCAGAAAAGATCTGCGGATGGCAATGGATGCGCTGACGATTCCTTCTCGCAGATCTACACAGTTCAAGCAGCCAAACTCGTGAGTCTCCTAGTGATCGCGGAGTGATTCCCGTGGGAGTCTTCGGGTTCGTTTATTGTATTTGTTATTTCGCGTTCGTACGCGTGGGAGGTAGCCGATGTTGTTCTTTTGTGAGCTGGTTGGTGAATAGCCTGAATGAGTGTAGCGTCACGGAAATTGTGCGCGGGGTTGATGAACGCGTCGGCTGGTATTGGTCACGTCCATGGTAGGTGCGGTCAGAGTTCTGATGCGTTGTTCACGTGATTACTACGGGTGTTAGTACCATACTTGTTGAGCAAGCGTGGAGCAGCTATGTAACACCTGCGTTCTTGTTAAAGTACATATTTTAAGTTGCTTGCTCAGCGTTGTGATCCTTCATATTTTGATGTGGTTCTTTTTGCTCGTGTTGTGAGTGTACTGCCAGCTTCCTTGATCTTCGTGTCATCTTACTTGTGTGTTTTGATTACCTAGGAGCCACATAGCCCACCCGGCTCGTGTGGTCTGGACGACTACTTTGATTGGGCCGTTACGTCTCATGCTGCGCTGTCAAAAACACAGAAGCTTCTGTCCTGCATATGGTGGTGAGCTGCATCATATGATAAGGTCTGTTATATGGATTTACTATATAGGATATATGGATTATGACATACTATATCTATAGCTATATATAGTTTTATGATTTTATATTTATATTTTTACATTATATTACTTATTATATTTTATATATATATTATAGTAATAATATACTTATAAATACTACGAGACACTAAAACTATGATGATCTCATTTAACATTCAGCGTCCGTTGTATGATATTCATGACTATAGCAATAGCTGTCTTTTTTATGGGGAGGGATGTCAAGGGAGTGCTAGTATTGTTTAGTTAAATATCTAGGAGATTATCAATGTTCAGTGATTACTGTGAATCTTCATGATCTTTTGATTGCAATATTCCTTAACCTTTATGTAACGTTTACAGGGTTGCAAACTGGTAACCATTTTTTTTTTTTACAATTGCTTCTTTGCTAATAATGACAGTTAGAAAACCATATATCTCTGTAGGCTTCATTAAGAGGCTGGTGTAGGTTACTCAGCAAGACTTTCTGTTAGGGTGCAGTCCGATTTAATAAGTTATTTACTTGATATGATTGTGCTTCTAATGTGGTGAAACGATCGTAGACGGGGTCTGTGGATTTAAAGCGCGTGATCTGGTTCTGTCATTGTTTTCATTTAAAACGACACGTGGCGTCGCTTTGCTGACATTCACAAGGATTCGCGGTAGGCCGTCCCACCAGAGGATTTCTCGCACTTCCTGCGTACTGTCCTGAGGACATTTCCCAACTTAAACTGGTGCACCAAAGGTGAGTTATATGTCAGTATGTACATCAGTAAATCTCGCTTTACCGAGAACGTTATTAATTACTTATTATCATTAATTAAGCTGGGGTCATGTTTGTGTTAATTTCAAGCTGCACCATTTCGCTTGGCCTACATGTCTAAATGACGTTAGTTGAATACAGTTATAGCTGGACGTTATATATATGCTATATTTCTTTGTTAATAGACTACACAAGAATGGCGTCTGTATTATTAGGTTTTTCCTAAGAGGTTTTATAAATCGCTGAGATAATTGACTAAGGGTGCGGAGATACTGCACATCATTTAGAATCTTGTGGGCATGTGACTATGTGTTTTCAGAGGGCTGCGGCGTATGGACGGCGTTCGAACTGCATAGCAAGCAGTGATGTTGGAGGTAAGATATTGCTATACAGTACTCTAGTACTGCGACTACCACTAACTTCCTATGAACCGTTCGTGATTGTGACTTTATAGTAAGCGATCGAAGCATTATTCCCCAACTTGTCATCTTTTAATTACTTACTTGTACTTTTCTACTTACTACTTTACTTGTTTTTTTATTTGATTAAGCGTAATGTTTTTGACTGTTTTCTGAGATAATTCGTTTTAATGGGTAATTGATTTGTGTTGTGTGTTACGACATATTTCTGGCGTACCTTGTACTGGAACGTCGTCGGCCGACTACATCGCGCACTGAGAATGCCGCGTCATCGCCGAAACTCCTGCACGGTAACAACGGGTGCTCATCGTGTTCCGTTACAGGTAACGCACCGTGATTTGGCTTGCCCACCCATGCTCGTTAGCTTAATACTATGGATGTTTGATGCACATAGGCTCTCATCATTTCGGCTTCTAACTTCTGCAACGCTACTCAAGATGCTATCTAAATGATGATTCGCGGTCATTAGATTTAATTTTTATTCATTCATTAATTTCAATTTTTTCGATTTCAAATTTCTAAAATAAATTAGCCTAATCAAATCTAAAATCTGAAGGGTCACGTGATGCGTGTCACCCTGCGTTTACTTGACCTACGTGACCTCTGCACAGCTCTGTCACTTTCTCTTCAATCTCTCTCTCTCTCTCTCTCTCTCTCTACTCTTCTCTTCTCTCTCTCTCTCTCTCTTCTCTCTCTTCTTCTCTCTCTCTCTCTCTTCTCTCTCTCTCTCTCTTCTCTCTCCATCTTCTCTCTCTCTCTCTCTCTCTCTCTTTTTCTCCCTATCTCATCTCACATCAACTCTTCTTCTTTCTCTCTCTCCTCCTCCTCCTCTCCCTCTCTCTCACCCCTCGTTCCCTCGACCCGTACTAACCTCTCCACGTTTCTCTTGCTTCGCAGCGTCTTCTACGTGTTCTACGAACAATACCTGACGATCGCCACCGCCACCTGGCAGAACCTAACGCTGTGTCTGGCTACGATCTTCGTCGTCTTCGACTCTGCTTCCTCGGCTTCGACGTGCACTCGGCCGCGATCATCATCGTCACGATAACGATGATCCTCGTTAGCATGCTCGGCCTCATGTACCTGTGGAGCATCCCGCTCAACGCGATCTCGCTCGTCAACCTCGTCATGGTACGCGAAGATACGCCCGCTGCCGCTGCTCTCCCCCATAGCTCCTCCCTGCGTTGCTTCCCATGCTCCTCCCTGCGCCTGCTCTCCCTAGCTTTCCCTTGCGCTGCTCTCCCCATCGATCCTCCCTGCGCTGCTCTCCCCATAGACTCCTCCCTGCCGCTTGCTCTCCCATAGTCCGCCCCGCGATGCTGCTCTCCCATAGCTCCTCCCCGCGCTTGCTTCCTCATAGCTCCTCCCCTGCGCTGCTCTCTCATAGCTCCTCCCATGTCTCCCTGCCGCTGCTCTCCCCCATAACTCCTCCCCCGCGTTGCTCTCCCACATAGCTCCTCCCCTGCGCTGCTCTCCCTCATAGCTCCTCCCCTGCGCTGCTCTCCCATAGCTCCTCCCCCATAGCTCCTCCCTCACGCTGCTCTCCCCCATAGCTGCTCCCACATAGCTCCTCCCCTGCGCTGCTCTCCTCCATAGCTCCTCCCCCATAGCTCCTCCCCTGCGCTCCTTCCCCCTCATGTACCTGTGGAGCATCCTGCTCAACACGATCTCGCTCGTCAACCTCGTCATGGTACGCGAAGATACGCCGTCCCGACCCCCGCCGCGCTCCTGTGTAGCTCGTTCTTCGATCTGATTTGAGACTTTCTCGCGCCGCCGGCCGACGGTTCGCACCGATTATCGTCTCGTCGTTTCTTATTTTCTGCGTCGTTTACCTCCGAGTGTTTATAATCGTTCATAATCGTTTATCATATCATAATATAAACAGGTGTGTCGATGGAACTCACGACTGGGTTTGCGATCCCGGTCGGTTACTCCTCGGGCGTAAACAGTTAGAATGCTGCAAAAAGATTGCTCGAAAAAAAGGGGGAAATGCAGATAGCTTAGTTTCTCGTATTTTCACACGTGCTGTATCAGTTTTAAAGGGAATGATTTTGAATGATCAGTGGGAAACGACTAATGTGTTTCGCGTGGATCGCTTCCACTAGTGCTTTGTAAAACATGCTTCCTGAAACAATAATATTATGTGAGCAGAAATCGTTTGTCCTGTAGGGAGAGAATTGATTTGTCGCCCTGTGTTATCCACCTGAGAGAAATGATTTGTCACTATTGATTGATCATCATTGATTGAATTGATTGCATTGATTGCATCGTTCACCTGACGTTACTCATCGTTGCAGACTGTCGGAATAGCCGTGGAGTTTTGTTCCCACATCACGCGAGCGTTTGCGACAAGCGTGAAACCGACGAGAACGGAGAGAGCCCAGGATGCCCTCGTGCACATGGGAAGCTCGGTAAGCTGGGCCACCCTTAAACAATTTTTTGTTTCCCCTTTACCTACTCGCCTCTCAGGGTACCGAGTAGGTAGGTAGGTGAAAAATCTTCTTTATTTTGTTTTGACAAGATGTGTGTATGTATATTGTATATTCTGTTTTGTGTATATGTTTTTGCGGAACGAATTTGATTTTTTTTTTGGCAAAAAGAAATAATTTTTGTTTTGTTTTAATCGGCCAACAAAATGTGTCGAGTAGCGGCGTGACGAGTCAGTCGGTAAAGGGGAAACAAGCAATATTATATCTTAGGCCCAAGCTGTCTATCTTCACAGCTGATCCATCGCTATAACATAGTGATCCTGCGGGGATCGAATGGGAAGGGGGGCCTAGTGACTAACGCCACTGTCACGTCTAACGTACAGAGCGTGGAGTAATTAATTGTTGACGGTTACTGCTACTGGAGTTACAAGGTTGTAATTCTTAGGAGAACATGAGGTAGTGCAAGGATTGGAGAATGTTTGAAACTGGCTGTATTTCCTGGGAAAATCCGGGACCAAACTTTTTACACACATGATTGGTGTATGAGCCACCCCTAGGTTCTCTTTTTCTCTAGACTAGAAGGAAGAGAAATAATTCTGCAGCCATGACTATAAATTTTCCAGCATAGTAAAAAGGAAGCTCTTTGTGTAGATAATGTCTAACTCTGTCCCGTATGTCGCTTCCACAGGTGTTGAGTGGCATTACCCTGACCAAGTTTGGCGGCATAGTGGTGCTAGCGTTCTCCAAGTCACAGATATTCCAGGTGTTTTACTTCCGCATGTACGTCGGCATCGTTGTGTTCGGTGCCATCCATGGCCTCGCATTCTTGCCTGTCTTTCTCAGCTACGCTGGTAAGTGTACGCTGCATTGTCGTACGAAACTTTGCACGCGACAGGTATATAATTCATCACCAGATGACACTAATCACAATTTAAGTTCTAGACAAATATTGGCATGAATATAATGTAAATGTTTTAGAAATGAGACACTATTAACGGTTTAGGTCACAGTGCGAATCGAACGGTACTACGGTTATATTTGTGTGAATATGTTGCAATAGTTTGGTTCGTATGTACCTTAAAATTTGTCAGCAGTGCAGATCAAATGCACTCGTATTTGAAATGCAACCCTTTGGCACATGCAGTTACGACTCCTCTCAATCCTTTCATTGACTCGTCTCGTTCACTTGCCTGCAGGTCCGTCGGTCAATCAGAAAAGGCTGCAGAACTCTCTGAAGCCAAAAGACGTGATGTATCCAAGCGAGAGGGAGCCACTGCTGCAGTCTGATGAACACGCACCTGATCCGGTCTACAGCTCCCTATCTGCATGATCACTGCGGCCCTCGTCGTAGCTATACAACGCAAAGCAGAAGCTTACCTCAGGCATAACGACCCTAAAATGGGACAAGAGCTATTGGCGATACGATGAACCTCCCAGCATCAGCTGATTCACCAACTGCTGGCTGATAGGTGCATACACTGGCAATAGATGGCGCCACCAGTCGTAGGTAGGTTAGGTGAAAATCGTGCTGTCGGTTTTTGCTGCAGGGTGACTTTCGACCACCTGTGCATGCTAATACCCAAGCACTGGCATTAAGTAACACTTTCTCTGCAGAAGTAGGCAAACCCAGGAATTCTGGAATTGACATACTGTTAAATTCCGATGAATTCTGACTTTATATTTATTATTGTGAAGTACTTTATTTTTTTTCAACCAAGACCAATTGTGTAATAAAGTAAAAACCTGACATTAGCCACCACAACAGTGGGATCCTGCCCACTCGGATCTGGGCGTGTTCTATCTACATGGTAGTACTAATGGTTGAGTCAATGATACATCCAACAAGAGAACCCACTAGCTTCTATGGAGCATATAGTGGACACGTTTAATTAGCAGGACTGTTATGTGCAAAACTGCGTGAATGTAACTGTGTAACGTGCGAATGATTGCCACAGCAATGCTGGCATGATGTGTCAGGCATGTGCATGCCTTTTCCGTTTCGCTGAACAATTATGGGCTATGTCAAGGCTACTATGTCAAGTTGTTTCAGACTGGCCAGGTGTGTCTGGTGACACTCAGCGAAAAGGTTGGTTATGCCTGACTTCGCCTGAAATGCTCATTGTTTTCAGGAAAGTTAAGTTCCACTATACAGAAGTTAGCAGTTCCCTTGTTGGATGTATTTATTGTCTGTTTTTAAAAAGTGAAACGATGAGTTTATGATGGTTTATGTGATCTGTTATGGAATGATCTGATATCGTGTTTGTATAGAACACCTGTTTGTCTTGATGTGCTATAGCCATAGATCTATCGTCTCTATATGTATGTGTCAAGTGTATAATTACATCAAAAAATGCCAGTAAAAAAACCTATTATATCATTACTCAGGGGTAGAAATTAACTTTTGAACACGGGAGTCCAACGGATACCCTCAAAAAGAGGGAGTCCGTGGCAAAATGAGGGAGTCCACAGTCTGAGGTTCAAAATTAAAGATATTAACAATAATGCATGTGCTTATTTTTAAGATTTCATGCAGTTGCACGTCTGCCAAATTTTTTTTGGGCATTACTTGAAAAAATACGGTAATTCCGCGAGGCCGTGATCCGAACGAACTACTTAGTATGGCAGAATTTTCAGGGAGTCACACGGACTCCTGCATATGTCAAATCAGAGAGTCCTCGGAGAGTATTTGACTCCGGACTCCCGTTAATTTTGCACCCTGATTACTATTTATTGTGGGATTTCTATAATACTGCCAGCTAACCAAATAGCATGCCAACTTTTTTGTTTTATTGAATATGCTCACATATTATCTAGGGTGGGGGGGACATGTGATTTAGCCCAGGAAACGGTGATGACGTGGTGGTAAATAGATGCATCAATCCTTATCCGTAACTATTCCGTTGCGTTTTATTTATAAACGTGCTGTTTATATTCACACTATAGACGATTTTAATGGCATATTGTTTATGAAATAGAAGATTAGTATTAGAGGAGTAACAGTGTAGTGTGTGTGTGCAGAGTAAATATAGACAGTATAATGACGCAGTAGTTGCATGTGTGTGTGAGAGAGAGAGAGAGAGAGAGAGAGAGATCCCAGCTATTTTTTAATATAATTTGTAGTCACTAGGTTTAGTGGTACCATGAGTTAAGCTAATCCTTCAATTCAATTCTAAACTTTGGGAGCTGTTATGTGGCCTAGGTCAGGCTACGTCTGGTCGTAGATTCTTGGCTGCACATACAATCACCACCTAACTTCACAAATATAGCTGGCTGTGTATGCAAAAAAAAATCCTTTGATGTGTTCATGTGTCTGATGGGAGACGTCCTGCATGTAACTCGAGTTCCTTGGCCATTACTTAGTTGTCGTGTTAATATTAATAGCAGTGTTGTAGTTGAGTCCGCCCCCCCCCGAGTCCGAGTCCGAGTCCGAGTCCGCACCACCCGAGTCCGAGTCCGAGTCCGAGTCCACACCACCCGAGTCCGAG